ATATGGCTGAACTAAAGTTCCGGTAACGGGACCGGCGATCCAGACGAGCGCCATCAAAGACTTGCTCAACCCGAGCGAGAGGAGATACGGCGAGCCATTCGAAAGCTCGACGGCCCAGGCAACCTGAAGGCCTCCTAAGCTGATGGTTAGAAGGATGAGGTACCATATACTCTTCGTTGTCTGTGAATCATCGTGGTCTGCACGATCCTCATGTTCCCCGATCAAGTATTCTTGCTCAGCCCCCAGGGGGGATAAGAGGGGCGACTGTTCAGTTACAGCATCTTGTGTAGACCCTGTTGGGAGATGGACTGGCGAGCTCTCTACCGGCAAAGGGCCATGGTCATCGTTTTGGCTCGGAACGAACGGGGGCTCGCTATGACGACTCGGCGAGAGCTTGCGACTCGAAGATGACGAGGAAGAGGAAGAGGAAGATGAGGAAGACGAGGAAGACGACAATGACGAGGTCATGCGGGAAAAAGACCGAAGTCGCTTTATGAAGAGACGTTCAGCTTTTGTAGGTTGGAGGTGGGAGCCCGAAGTGAGATAGTTTTATTCTTCGCAGCTGGGCGTGTAAGAGGAAGGTTAGGAAGTAGTGCAACTATGGTCGCAAAGGAGAATGGCGAGAATTGCAAGATGAGTAGGGATAACGTCACAAAGGACCTCAATACCTAATCCTAATAATCACGAGATCCTAGGCATATTAAATGAAGGGATGGAGGGATGGTAGGTGATAGTAGGTAAACAGTAGATGGTATTGAAATGTTGGAAGAGCCGGGCCTAACATTGAACCTAACAGCCTGACTAGTGCTACCTATGTAATCTAAGGAGAATATATATATTGAGACAAAAGTTGACAGAAGGTATTAAGTAGTACTAGGTACTTTATCTTCTAGATGATGCTACTTGCGCCAGCTGGAGAGCACTGACACAAAGTTTACCTATGATGAAACACTGACAGAAGAAAAGTAGTAAGTACTAGTAGATACATTCACTGTCAGCTAGTGTAATACATAAGGTACTGTATGTAGTATGTACACCAGAAAGGTACAGTAACATGAATTTTACGATAACTTTAAAAATAAATAGGACATAACTTGGTAATACAGTTCTATGCAGTTCTAGCAGCCAGTACCTATTGTAGGTAAGCATACCCCTTGCAAATGCATCAAGATATCGTCTTTGGATCTTCAGTAGCTTATGTAGAGCTATGGATCTCAAACTCCGGTTGTCGGGGTCTAGTTAGAGAGCTCTATGCAGAAGACTTCCTCTTTTGCACATTCCTATATGCACGTCAATTCTCCTAAGCATACCATGTCTTAATAAAAGCAACAATACTACCTACTCACATGTAGTATTGAAACTAATAAATCTGAAGAAGGATTTTAAGGTACCTCTGCTACATGTATTTGATATGTAAGTATGTCCCTGTAGAAATCAATAGTGTCTGGTACAGGCAAAATGGATAGGTTAGAGAGAGCCTTCCGGTAATTGGTCTTGTAACAGCAGTTAAACATACATCAATACACTATGTATGTAGTTAGTCTCTATGAAGGTAGCAGGTACCTACAGCTGACGTCCTGACTTGGTCGTTCTTACGCCAAAAATGCAGGGATTCCCTCGAGCTGTTAATCTCGACTAGGCTAGACAGTGGGCTGAGTGGGTCTGTAGGTGTCGCCTGCGCGTCCGTTCTTTTCCGTTTAGTGTCTGGATTGCGAGTAACTGCCAAAAACTGAATAGAGGAAAGCTGTCGACTTGGAAAGTCAAAATCCCCAACTCCAAAATTCAACATCCCATCCCTCTCTCGTTTGCGCCACTACAGTTTGGCCTTTCGCACCGCACCGTTCTCATCATACCTAATGGTCTTCCCAAATTGATGCCTTCGCACGCCGTCTTCTTCTTGCTCCGATCCGAGCAGACGACTTACTACTTAACATTCAAGCACCAGTATCCAACCTGAGTGATAGAGAGCGAGCTGTGATTACGTCTTTGGCCCCAGCGACACCAGCGACACCAGCAACACCACCCTCCCATCACCACCATGTTACCCGAAATCGCCAGCTCCGCCATGGAGCTCGCAAGTACGTCTTTCAACTCGCAGTTCCTACCATCATGGGCTTTGATCCGTCTTTTGCTAACTGTTGCCCGCCGCACACAGGACGAGCCGCCGATGAGGAGACAGATCCCGATGGTACTTGATCCACCTTCAACTCCTCCCCCGCCTTTGCGATCTGACAAGCCGCAACAGAAACCGACTCGGGCGAAAAGGAGGTCTTCGCATCACTGGCGCTTTTTATATCTATAGTGCTCCTGATCATTGCCTTCTTCACGAGCTATATGCTCCAGCAGAAGAAGGTACAGGCCGTCCACGAGACTGTCATCTCCATCTTTGCTGGTGGGTCGCATCAACGCCCATACACAAAATAGGTGATGCTAATTAAGGTCGCTAGGCATGACTGTTGGATTGATTCTTCGAGTGAGCACCGAGTCCGTCCGACAGCTCGTGAGCTTCGACTACCAGATCTTCTTCAACCTCCTCCTACCACCCATCATTCTGAATTCCGGGTACGAGCTGCACCAAGCCAACTTCTTTAGGAATATTGGTACTATCTTGGTTTTCGCTTTCGCCGGCACATTTCTATCCGCCGTTGTTATTGGATTGCTGCTATGGTTATATATACAGCTACCCCTGGAGCCATTGTCTATGACCTTCAACGATGCGATTTCGGTTGGCGCAACCTTGTCCGCCACCGATCCAGTCACTATCCTCGCCATCTTCAATACCTACAAGGTTGATCCGAAGCTATATACCGTCATATTTGGCGAATCGATCCTCAACGATGCGATTGCAATCGTCATATTCGAGACGGCCCAAGCATATAAAAGCGACACTGCGGCATCATACGGCGTGATTAGTTTCTTTAGTGGTGTAGGCACCTTTCTGCTCAACTTCTTTGGTAGCTTGGTAATTGGTGTGGCTGTTGGTGTCGGCACGGCCCTGGTGTTGAAATTCACCTACGTTAGGCGATACCCGCAAATTGAGACTTGTTTGATAGTCTTGATCACCTATGCGAGCTATTTCTTTTCGCAAGCTGTGAGGATGTCAGGTACGTATATGTTTTTCTCTGGCCCTGTGCTTCGGAACGCTCGGCTAAATATCGAGCAGGTATTGTGTCTTTGCTGTTTTGTGGCATCACCCTCAAGCACTACGCCTACTTTAATATGTCGCGACGGACTCAGCTTAGTACCAAATATTTCTTCCAAATCATGGCCCAACTTTCCGAAAATTTTATCTTCATCTACCTTGGGCTGTCACTCTTTACGGATAACGATCTACAGTTCCAACCCCTCTTAATCATAGTCACTGTAATCGCAGTTTGCGCCGCAAGATGGGTTGCCGTTTTCCCATTGTCTAAGGCTATCAACTGGTTTCACCACTACCGCGCGCGTCGTCAGGGCAGGGAAGTGAGCGACGAGTTACCCTATAGCTATCAAGCGATGCTTTTCTGGGCTGGCCTTCGGGGTGCTGTCGGTGTGGCATTGGCTGCTCTGTTGAACGGGGAGAATTCATATGCCCTCAAGGCCACTGTGCTCGTCGTCGTCGTGCTCACCGTAATCATTTTTGGCGGCACGACAGCCCGAATGCTTGAAATTTTAGGGATTAAGACAGGTGTTGTGGAAGAGGTGGATAGCGATGACGAATTCGACATCGAAGCAGCCCCCGGTGGATCTTATTATAAACGATCTGGGACCGGCATCGGCTACAACCCTCGGAGTAGAAATGGCGCGGTGCGTATGGATCCAGTTGATACGAGAAATAGCAGACGCAATACGGGGCCAGAACGGGGGAGTTATGTGTCCGGGCATCGGTCACCATCATTCCCTACTTCACGTCCAGGGAGTCTAAGTCGCAAGGCATCACGTCCAGGAGCAACTGATGATGTAGAGCGAACCGAGCTGCTAGGCAGCAGTGGCAACCTAACAGACTCGGATCTAGGAAGCGACATTGATACATCAGATCTACCGCCTCCAGCCCGTAGATCACCGCGGAGTAAGGCAAGCCCCATACTCACCCCCAGTGGTACCTCGGAAGAAGAGGGTGTATTCTCATATCCAACATCAGGACACCGAAATGCGGCACCCGTTTCTGCCAGGACAGCGTTCCGGCAGCTATTTACAGCCAATGATCCCCAGGCATTGTTTCGACAGCTTGATGAGGATTATATCAAGCCTAAGTTGCTCTTAGATGGCATGAATCCAGGGCCAAGAGGAAATGGCGAGGGCGGGTCTGGATCCAGTTAAGTATGTACAAGATTTTGTAAAAAGGGGGAAGAGTCCTGATACCCCACCCCTGACGAACTATTCCTAGTGTAGAGTCATATTTTTGAGATCTATGGGCATACCTCGGAGTTTAGGACAGTATACTGTACAGCGCAGATAGGTACTTCAGCAAAAATATTACTATATAACGCCTTGCTTCTCGATTTTTACAAATATCATTGCCACCTAGTTGTAGGAATGAATGCTATGGTAAAACTTAAGGTACCTAGTGGATCAAGCCAGTGCTTGGGATGAAAAGCTTAAGATTCTTAACAATGCATAAAAAATCACTGGTTACCTACCTAGGTAGCTTAAGCAGTATCTAGACCATATTGCTTACACGTAATTTTCTTTTTCTATTGAGAATAGATACCTTTGTTCTAAGAAATTCCTTTAGGTTTGCATGACTATTTTGCTTGTGCTAGGCAAGCAATTGTAAGATTGTGGTTAGGTCTTCCAGTTGTCCATTCCTAGACCTTGTGCTTTGTTGTAGATAGACAGGTAGGCGCTACACAACTGTTAAGAATGATATAAAAAACACAAACCAACTAAGGCATAGGAATAAGTGCACCACAGAACGTTTGCCAGGTTGAAGTTGTAGTTAAAAAAACTCATTCAGAGAATAATCAAGATGAATGAAAAAGAACGAGGTGCAACTCCAAGTAAGAAAAAAATTTATTTGCTGGACCAGTAGGGATTTGAACCCTAGACCTCTCGCAATCATAGCGAGTTGTATGCAAAGCGAGCGCTCTACCCCTGAGCTACAAGCCCAATTGATTGTTCGTCAGCAGAATTGGCTTTGGAACTGGTGGATCGTTTGTTAAAAATGTACATAACGACACTCAGTAGCCTGTGACGAATGGCATTAGGTTCGACGTTTAGTACCTAGGTAGAGTGTCCGATGTTGTCCCGCGCTAAGTAACTGCAAGCTTACTACAACATATCTAGTGTAGACATTAAAATGTATCGATTTGTCCTTCACAGCATCATGTGCACTATAAATATATATACCTACATAGGTGCCTACACAATAAAGGACCTTGAGGAATTGATTATTGGGCATTTTTAAATAGGTGAAATATATATATGGGTTAAGAAAAAGCAATTATGGTAGTAACATTTTAATGGCACATTGATACACATGGAATGCTGATAGCAACCTATAAAATCATTGGCCTATAGGATGGGCAGAAATCCTTAACCTTAGGTGGTAGGCAGGATGGAACTTAAGTATTATAAGTATCGAACTTCTACACGGGCATGCCTCCATAGGTACTCTTATGTAGGTTAGGTATTATGTTACATACGTCAGCGTGCATAGGTGCTGAGTTGGACTACATTCCTAGGCACCTACCTACCTAGGTAACCTAGTAGATAAGACCAATCTATCATGTAGGTAGGCAGAGGGCAGCAGAAAGGGGGTCCTGTAAGCTACCTAGGTACTACACTATAGTGTAGATTACTTAAGGTAATGTTGTACTTGTGGGGCTCAACACTAACTAAGAGGGGCGTTACCTAACAAGCAAGCCACCAACCCTCGTCATCCCCTGTTTCCCCATGCCCGTCCATCGTCCCCCCCAATGCTCCCCCCGACAATCAGCCGGGTTAGGGACAAGTTAGAGGTGGCATTGGCTGTTACATCAAGAACGCGGACGCCTACCTTCACTTAAGAAGTTCATCTCAAGCAACATCCAGGCGTCACCTCCTCGCCATTTGGGCGCCTGATCCAGTGCACCATTCGAGAATCCCAAACCCTCCCAGCTATGTGCCCAAGATAGCTGCAGAGCGCAGATCGCATCCATGCCATAACAGTAAATCCAACTACTTACCCATACCGTACCTCTCTCTTTCTCTCTCACTCTCTCTCTCTCCCCTTCCGACCCGATCCCATTCCCACTCCTCCTTACCTCCACGAATTGTCTCGTCCTGTCTCGTCTCGCCTCGCCTCGCCTCGCCTTGAACCCGTACCATGGCCTCCTACAGCAACACCGCCCCCGTGGCCCGGCCAGGCCAGCAGGTCGCATATGGTGCACCTGCGCCGGTTCCTATGCAAATGCCTATGCAAATGCAGGCCCCGACCGCCCCTGCTGGCACCTTTGCTCCGGGCACCAAGATCCAGGTTGGTGATCATAGGGTGGTGATCCAGAAGTACCTGTCCGAGGGCGGGTTTGCGCATGTTTACCTCGTGAAGCTCCCACGGCCGGTGGACGGAACCGACCTGGCTGTGCTGAAGAGGGTCGCCGTGCCGGACAAGGACACCCTACGAGGGATGCGGACCGAGGTCGAGACCATGAAGCGGCTGAAGGGACACCGGCCCATCGTCACGTATATCGATTCACATGCATCCGAGCGCAAGGGGGGTGGCTACGAGGTCTTTCTTCTGATGGAATATTGTAATGGGGGAGGTTTAATCGATTTCATGAACACCCGACTGCAACACCGCCTCACCGAGCCCGAGATCCTCAACATCTTCTCTGACATTGCCGAAGGCGTGGCCTGCATGCATTATCTCAAGCCGCCATTGCTACACCGAGATCTCAAAGTCGAAAACGTCCTTATCACCTTGAACGGTTCAAGGAGGAAGTTTAAGCTATGCGATTTCGGCTCCGCCGCGCCACCTAAGCCAGCTCCCCAGACTGTTGTCGAATGCCGGTTATTGGATGAAGATATTCAGAGACATACCACGATGCAATACAGGAGTCCCGAGATGATTGACGTATACCGAAAACAACCAATAGATGAAAAGTCGGACATATGGGCTCTGGGTGTGCTGCTCTACAAGCTTTGTTATTATACCACCCCGTTTGAAGATCAAGGGCAGCTCGCTATTTTGAACGCGAGTTACAGGTTTCCTAGTTATCCGGTATTCTCTGATAGATTGAAACACCTAATCGGTGAGTTCTCAGCTACCACAGCTACCACCAGCACCCTGCCTTGTGTACTAACACTGTGAAGCATCCATGCTCCGGGAAAACCTCACATCTAGACCAAATATCTACCAAGTACTCCGAGAAAGCTGTCTAATGCAGGGCCGGGAAGTGCCCATACATGATGTATGTGAATCCTTGTCGATCCGGAGCCGCCAGCTAACAGAAATTCAGATATATTCAGAACGCGCGCATTCCGAACCGCGGCGGACCGAGAAACAATCCAATCTAGACCACAAAGGTAGAAATACACCAGGTATAGGTGCCGTGTATTCACCACCTCCACAACAACAGGCCCAAGCGATCCCAGATATTGCGCCCATGCGACGTGGCAGGCCGGCAGTCTCCAACCAACCCGTGGCCGCACACCCGCCTAGACCGAGCCCCTCTCCTATGAGAGTGACGAATGGCGACCCTTTCGCCGCTCTCGATTCCAAAACAGGGCCAAAGGGGGAGCCAGATGAGCTCGCTTTGAGGTTTCCAACTCTTGACCAGTTTGCCTTGCTTCATGACCAGGGCACCAAGTTTGACTTTGATAGCCCCATCTCGCCACCAGGTCAGAGGCACTCCGCAGACCTCAGCCGCGTGAAGCCTACAGCTGTTATAGCAGAAATGCAAAGACCAGCACCGCCATCCGCTCCAATTCAGAACCCTACCTCCGTATCACCGAAACCGTCAGCCGAGATGAGCCGTGCTTCGGCCATTATTTCGAGCAACCCCGAGCTTCAGGCCATCGCATCTCCACCACCACAGCCGAGTCAAGAAATTGCGCGAAGACCTGTGATGATCTCAACTGGAACGATGACAAGCACCCCTCCGCCAGAGAGGCAAGTTCGTGACTATCCTCCGATCCATCGCTTTCCTCCAGCCGACCCGTATCGCTCCCCGAGCGTGCCACCACAATCGCACAACATGTCTGGCTTCAACCAACCACGGCCAGACCCGATCCAGTTGACTGGGCCATCGTCTAGTTCGCGACCCCCCTTAGTACATCCACAGCCCGGGCATGGCAGACATACATCGTCATCAAGGCCATCGCTTGAAGGTGGCCGACCAAGCCTAGAATATCTCGAGCCATTGACCAAATCATCATCTCTATCTGGACGCCCAAGACCAGCCAGTACATATCTAGAATCCAGCATGGATTATCTCCGCGAACGCGAAGCAGCCCCTAGGCCATTGCGTTCTCCTGGCCTCCCGTCGTCGAAATTCCCAGAAAAGGGAGCTTCCGCAATAATCGACCCTCAAGATGAAACTGCGATCGAATCAAATGTAGATTTCCTTCGGTCAATGGAGGATTCGGACGGGAAGAAGAAAGAAAAGGTTTCAAAGCACCATGCGAAACGCTCTAGCCTGGGTTCACTGTCGGGCACTAAACATATCCTAGCTGGGAAGTTTGGCGATGCCTTCAAACGTTTTGAGGGTGGTACAGGGTCTGGTGCACGAACACCATCTCCCCTGAAGGACATGGAACGCCATGAACTAACTCCGATTGCGGGTTCGGAAGCCACTGATGGTCTCAGTGACGACGGTCATCTTTCTGGGGAACCCGAAATGACTCCCGAAATGCGCCGGGAACTGGAAGCACAGAGTGCTGCGGAAGAAGAACGCCGAGTTGAGGCAGCCGCGGCTGAATACAAGCAGCGGATGGCGGAACGAGAATCAGGAGGATCGGCCGCATTGCCAAAGAGCATCGGCGGCGTGTCTCGGGCCGTGAGCATTCAGAACAGGGTGCAGAACTTGCTAGACGAGTCCCAGAAGTCCTCTCAGCAAGTTCAGCGCACTGCGTCAGGGTATGGAAAATTCTCGGACGACGCAGCGGCCCAGAATCGTGTAGATAAGCAGCCGCCTGAGGTTCCTCGTAAACCTACCGGGTCTAAGCCAACTCCACCACTGAAGCCCATCGCGACCTCTGAGTCCCTTCCCCGGGGACGCCCTGCTGGTCAAGTAGCTGATGCGGTCCCGTCAAACCGACCGGTGCCCCCATCGAAACCAAATCCTGCGCCTAAACCTACACATCTAAATAACATCCCGACCGGAAGCAGTAGGGCACGGTCTCCGCCGAAGCAACGGCAACCAGGGCCGAGTTCGTCATCTGATCTGCTGGTGGGGGTAGATCTACCGGGGCGGCCTGTGTTAGACATGAGTTTCGAGGAGAAGGAAGACTATATCAGCGACTTCAGCAAAAGATTCCCTAGTTTGGGCTCTATAGAGCTGGTTGAGCGCGATATCGATGCCGAAGTGGAACGAAAAGGAAGGCGCTAGACAAGGAAGGAATGTTATATCAAGCTATGTTCGCTTGAAGCGAGCACAGACTCCAATATATGATGACTTGGGTGAACCTTCTTTTTCTCTGGCTCGAGGGAAAATCTGCCGGGAAGAGTCAGGAAAACGAGAAGGGAGAAGGGAAGGGAGGAAAGAACGAAAGAGGGTGAGGATCATCGACTGGTACATACGTAAGATGTAAGTAGAAGAAAGTTGGGCATTTTGAAAGCATACATTTTTTTCTGTTTCGCCCACACGAGAAAAAAAAACCGATTAGAAGTGGAACGGCGTTCTTTTCTTTCTCTTTTTCTATAGTATAAGAAAGGGGCAACTGCTTTTTCAATATCGTTGCTGTTATTACTACTACTATTGCTGTTGCTGTTGCTGTTACAAATTCCTACTTGTTTACTACTAAAAAAGGGGAATTGACTACATTGTTATGTTCGGATGATCGGATTGTTTATTCTATTGTTATTCTTGTGGCTTTTGGATTTTTTTTCCTCCTACGATTTGAGGAAGGAAGCTTTTTAATACCTTTTGTAACTGTTCAAAGCTTGTCTTTATCCTACACCACCCCCG